GTACATTTGTTAACTCAGAGAGAGAGAGAGAGGACGAAAAAAAAGGAGCATTTTTTTTTTTTGGAAAGACGTGGGGATCAACACATCGAATTCTTTTTTATTCAACCGCAAGTTCCGCAATTCGTTTACAAGAGTTTAAATCCTTTCTTTTCTATGTTCTCCCTTGTATGTAAAACATTATTTAAGCTCAATATGATTTTATCCTATTACTGTGTCATACCCGTCAAGGCTAATTCTCTTAATCCGTGACTTGCTCCGCCATCGTAATTGTACTCTTACTTTACCCGAAAACGGTTTGAATGGAAATAGTTTATTTAAGAAGAGTGGAAAAAAGGGTATATTCGAATAACAGGTAAATAACCAAAATATAAAACCTTCGCGTGATCGAGGGGGGGGAGGGGGAGGAGACAGAAATGCGCTTTAGGTTAGACGTGTTAATATTATCATAACAGCTGGTTCATAGCGGCTAGATTCATTTCATTTGGCCGAAAGATATCCACGATATCCGTCGTGTATAACTATTAATACCGATATATATATATGTGTATATATTTTTTTTTTTTCCTCCTTTCTTCTTCATTTCAAAACGATCGAAACGATGACACGTTCCCGTTTTCTCGACACTGATCCCCGTTCGATTCAAAAATTAAAAAAAAAAAAAAAAAAAAAAAAAAATTCTTAGATGCAGTGACGTTATTACACGTATATACATATATATATATATATATACACACGTACAAAAATATATATATATATACACACATCGAATAAATTATTTCTAATTGAAACAGAGAGGGAAAGAAAGACAACGAGAGGATCGTTTTCAAATCGGGGTTAGGTGGATCATGCACCCTACGGCCGCACGTGCTAATCGATCGTCCATACAATCCTCGATTCCATCCACGTCAACTCCATCGTCCCTCGTACACCCCCAGCAGCAGCAGCAACAGCAGCAGCAACAACAGCAGCAACAACAGCAACAACAGCAGCAGCAACAGCAACAAATTCTTTACGGGCCTATCGCCAATCCGGCGTTAACCCTTCAACCATGCGGAAGTGGTTTGCACCCCTCTTGTATTTATCCAGGAGCGCAACGTAACGCCGGTCTCGCTAATCCTGCCCCTTTGCACATACAAGGTGTAAATACGTTTCTTTCCCCCCCTCCTGTTCATATAATTCAATAATTTTCATATATATACATATATATATATACACACATGTATGTATGTATATATATATATATATATATATACGAATGATTCAGAGAAAATTCATCGTCGTTTTTATCCTTTCTTCCTTTTTTTTTGTTATCTTCTTCCGTTATTTATATATAAAAAAGAGAGAGAAGGAAAGAAAAGAAAAGAAAGGAGAAACTTTACTTTCGAGCTCATTTTAAATATAATATTTATATTCGAACGATGGTTTCAGTTTTCTAAGATTTTCTCGTACAAACCCATCCCGTGTGAATATAGGAAAAAGCAGCAGATGGCCACCTAAGAATAAACTCGTACGAAACCAGCAATATTGCCAGCAACAGCAGCAACAACACCACATACAGCAACAATTGTCCTACAACCCGAAACCATTGGTCCTGTACGATCAAACGTCGAGCAACGTGGCCCCACCACCGGCCCCGACCGCCTCCTTTCTAATCGCTTCCTCCACGTACACGCACGGCTCGTTCTCCGGCGACCAGTACAACAATTCCGGAGTCACGTTGATACCCCAACCCTACTTTAAGCCGCCCGACGTGCAAACCTTCTGCTTGATCCAAGACCGGCAAAATATCCAACAACAACAGCAGCAACAGCAGCAACCTCAACCCCAGCAGCAGGAGCAACCAACGACCCACGCCTCGTACTACAACGTGTCAGCGGCGAACACGTGCAACCTGCAACCGGGGATCAATGCGACCAATTCCCCGTTCCAATTCCCGAATCTGAGCCCGTACGCGGCCAATTTCGCGACCAACAGCCAGGTGAATCCAACCGTTCAAACGGGCAGCGGTGTTCACACGGGCCAAATCTTTCCAAGCCCCCCCTCCACCGGCCTCGTGTTCGGCGGGCTTCAGGCGAGGGGGGCGGAGAAACCCGTGGCCGGGGCGGCGCTCGAGATCTCGTCCTCCTCCCTGAAGGGGAGCAAGAGCAAGTTACCGGCCGCCGGTAACAACTCGCAGATAGTCGCCAGCGCGGCCAGCGTCGAGAATTACAACGAATGGCCGTCCCAACCGCAGATCACCCCCTCCTCCTCGACGGACGTTCTGTTCAACATAAAGGCGACCGCGACCGGGACGACCACGAGCACCGACGATGAGGGGAATCGGGAAACAACGGCGGGGGGGAACAACGTCGTGCTGGAGAAAACGAACGTGTCCACGGGCGTGTCGGTCAAGGCCCAGCAACAACAGGAGGAGCATTACTCGGACGAGTCGTCGGCGAGTTTCGATTTCACGATCGAGGCCGAGAAAATGGTGTCCGCACTCTGCAATATATCCTCGAACGATATAAACAAGGAGGAGGGGAAGACGGACAAGTCGAATTCGACGCCTTTGTTCAGCGGCGCGGGGGACACGGCTTCGAACAAGAACGCATGGTTCACGGAGTTTTGCGCCGATTACGGGACGGGGACCTCGATAGCCGTCCAAACGGACGGCCCGTGCGTGGACAGGGCCCAGTATCAAGAGTTGTTGAGAAAAGTGGTGTACTGGGGTTGCACGGAGGCGGAATTGGTGTTGAACAACAGCTCGAAGACGAATCCGAGATGCGGCTGGTTGAGGAGCTTGTCCACGGCCACGAAAACGGCCGTGACCAAATCGTCCACCTGTTTCCCGATATTTGCCGGTGACCGGGTGTTCGTCGCCGATCTGATCAACGCTTTGCTGCGCATAAGCAACGGTTGGCTGATACTCGACAATTACTTGAACAAGCAGCATTACCCGAGCCTGAACGAGAAATTCGATTGCGAGTTGGTCAGGTGTTTCCGCCTTTGGGAGGAGAGCACCCACGAGCTGTTGAATCAGATCGTCCAAACGTTCCTCAAGCTCGAGGAGGGAGCTGTCGTCGACCCGACAACAACTAATTTCAATACCAACAACGAGCAAACGAAATCAGAATCATTCGGAACCTCTTTTCCAGGTGACGTTTCAGTTTACACGAATCGCGACTTGTTCGATCCATCCTCGTCCACGTCTATCATCGCTACCGCCCCGTCGAAACAGAAGGTGGCGGCTGATAATAAAAAGGACGGTGGCCAAGAGGTGGCGTGTTGCGGCGGCAACTCGGTCGGCCAATTGTCCGCCTGCGGTAGCCTGCGCAACTTCACTCTTTACGGCCAGGCTGAACAGAAACAGCAACAGCAACAACACTCCTCCTCCTCCTCCTCCCAGAAAGAGTCGAAACTGCGAAGTAAGTGGACAATTACCGAGCTACGGAATCTAACGACAACCACGACGAAATCCGTGCATCCCGTGCATATATTCTGTTCAGGGCACGCGAAATCCGGGGGACAGGCGAACAGTAGATACCGTTCGAGGGGTAGCTCGTCGTCGGGGAAGAACGAGACGCCTACCCAATCGTTGAACGCCGAATTCTTTCACCTGAGAAGCAAGATACTGACCGAGAGCAATCAAGACTCGTCCTCGAGGCAGCAATGGTTGTACCACAACAAGGAGAAGAAGCAAGATTTCCCCGAGGCCAAGGTCTCCTCTCCCTCCCCCTCCCACGTGGCGGAGAACGTGGACGGTATATTCAGATTGCAACGCCAATTGGACGTGGAGAATTGCGAGGCGGGTTACGGGCAGAAATGTTTGTCGAGGGTTGAATCCTCCTTCCTCAATCCATCGATCAGCCTCGAGTCCATGTATTTCCCGGCAACGAGCGAGCACGACGCTTTCTATCCAGGTTACGCGGTTTGCCCGCCATCCTACGCATCCCTCGACTACAAAAGCTCGAAGACGAGCTTCGACTCGTCCACCCAGAACCACAACAACAGGAACAAGGCGAACGTGGATCTCGTGTACGTGGGCAAATCGTCGACCAGCCAATTGGAATTGGCCGCGGTACCCAAGGACAAGATGACGTTGCTCAGCCAGATCGAGCCGAGCATACCCGAAAAATCGTCCGAGGAGATGACCGCGAATTTGTCCGCTTGGTTCGCGAGCATGAGGAATCCGGACAATCCCCGCCAGATACCGTTCATGAATCTGGCCGACGTGAACGCCGCGGATACGATGGTGGCGGGCAGGGGGTCGGCCCCTCGCCAAGACATGTCCAAGAACACTATGGATCTGACCAATTGCATCAGACAGTTGCAGATAGACGCGAACCGCCAATTCCAAACGTTGCAGAACATACAGAGCGTGCAAACAGCCCCGTGGAACGCGTACAATTTGATCAACAATCGCGTCCAAGTGCAACAGGTGCCGGAGGAGTACGACAGCTCAGAGGACGTGAGGGTGTACATGAAGCCGGGCAGTTACAACGTGCCCAAGAAGAGGCATCAGAGAAGGTCGAACAGACGGTTGGAGAATTCGACGAATTCGAGGAACGTGGCGAACGGGTCGGGCCACAACGCGAGGAGTCATTACGCGGGAAAGGAGAAGTTCTGCGTGCCCGCGTCGTCCACACCGGTCTCGAGGCCAGCGGCCACGCCCACTTCGACGGCAGGCGTGAACAACAACGGGTCGGGCGCGATGAAATTACCGTTCCCCGCGACCCCCATCGTACCGCCGCCGACCTTCTCCCTCGAGAATTCGCCACGGATCTTGAAACGATCCGACGTTTCCAATTACACGGTGTCCGAGGACGTGACATGGAAGGCGGCCTGCGCCTCGGCCGAGATCCTGTTGGAGGCTTTGAACGTGAAGGATGATGGGGATTTCAAGAAGCCGGAAATGGAGAGGTCGGTGGACGTGGTCGGCGGTGAAAAGTACGGGTGCGACGATGGTGCGATGGTGGTTAAGAAAGACGACGACGCGATGATGGAGGAGGGGATGGTGGTGGAGCAAGCGGTGCAGGGCGAGGAGAAGTTGGAGGAGAGCATCTCGAAAAATTTGAAGGAGAACAACGACGGTGTATCGAGTTACGAGGCGTCCGAGGATGACTCAGGCTCCACGAATCATTTCTCACCCAACACAAGTATCAACGAAGTTTCACAGTTATCTGGTAATAAAAATGGTAATAATTATTATCGGTCGAAGCGCCAATTTAAAAAAAAAAAAGAAAAAAAAGAAGAAAAAAGAAAAAACGTTGCCTTTCTTGTTAGACGTTTCCTTTCCCCCCCTCCTCCTCTCCTTTCTTCTTCTTTTCTTCCTTTCTTCCTTCATTCTTCCTTCCTTCCTTCCTTCCTTTCTTTCTTTCTTTCTTTCTTTATTATTTTTTTTTTCCATCCCGGTTTCGTTTTACGTTTTATGTCGAAGTGAAAGCAGTCAGAATCTTGTATTTGTTTGTTTTTTAAAATGAAAGATGAAATTTTAAAATCTCGCTTTTAATACTAGAAGGACGGAAATTTGAGAGAAATTTTTTCAATTTTCACGTTATCACGAATATGACGTATAATAAGACGTAAGATAATTAAACAACAACAACAAAATAATAATTTGTTTTGAGAAAGTGAGACGAGTGTTAATTTAAAAAAAAAAAAAAACGTGTCACGTTAAGGCAATACTTCCGTTCTTCCAGCATTAAATATCGCAATATTTTATGCAGCTACCCGTTAACAGGTTCTAGTAAAATGAATGTAAAAACGGACTCGTGGTTAATCAAAACTTTGAACAACGCTAACATGGCAAATAAGCAGAAACGGCGGAAAAACAACGCTGTCCAGCAACATAGCTCCGAATCGTCGAACAGTTCGGTGACAGAGAACGAGCAAACGAATCCTATCGTCTCGTTGGTGTCCAACAGTACGATAACGACGGTGGCGACAACGACGACGACCGTGAAAAATCTCCAACAGACGATATGCTCGAGGAAAAGTTCATGCGTCTCGTTGAACAACGACCAGACAACGTCCGAGGAGACGGAACGTGTCGTGGGGAAAGCCACTTATTCCGAAACTGTGCGCCGCTGCGCCTCCTTGAGCGCTTCCTTCTCGGAGAAGAAAGAATTTTCCAAGAAAAGCAAATTAAACATTGCCAATGTGTCAACGATTTGCAGCACTGTGATACCGATACCCGGCCGTAAATGTCAGAGAAAAGATTTCGAGAAATCTTACTATTTGTTGCATAACAGATCCCGCAAGTGTTCCGGGAAAAAAGCAACGAAAAATTGCGAGATCGATGGTGATTCTCAATCGGTGGAAGGAACGTTGAAATCGACGGTCGCGGTGAAGCACGGGAAAAAGAGGGAGAATGCTGGATGCATCGAATTCTTGGATGGGAAGTATGGTGGGAAGACTAGCGACAGAGGTTGGTCCGTATGGTACAGTTCGAAGAGGAAACAGAGTCTTAGTCCGCTTGCGCTTAGCAAATTGGAAATGATACATCAAACGGTTTGGCAAATGGATGAAGCAGAGGTTTTCAAGTGTCCATCTTCGGGGGGCAATAATCAATCTTCTACATACACGGTCAGTTTTTTTAGGTTAATAAGGTTGGTATGTTTATATATGTGTACGTGTAAGTGTGGTGAATTAATATTTTGCCGATATTTCCTTTTAGATCGAGGACTATTGTAAAGTCATTAAAAGTCCAATGTTCCTAGAAACGGTTGAATACAAATTAAAGAATCGAGTTTATCATAAAGTGGAACACGTCGTTAGAGACTTTCGTCGTATTGTTTATAATTCAAAATTATATCATAAGGTTTGTATCTTGGGTTGTTTAATTCTTGAAATTTTGTTCAAAGAATCGATCGAATCGATTGGAAATGATCTCGATGAAATGAAGAAGGGGATTTGAAACTCGCGGTTGAACTTCGGCTCGGCTCGGCGATAATCGGACGGGATCGGCTAAAGACCTTAATAACCATTACTATTACTGTCTTTTAAGTTCTCGAATCGATTGCGCCCGATTATTACCGAGTCGATACGAAATGATGAATAAAAGTTTTGAGAGTTTTTATCTGATTTTCAAAAGTTTCAACTTCTATTAAAGAAATTTACTTTAAATTTTTATCAATCGTTTTATCGCAGGATGATCATGATCGAGTAAAAGTAATCGAAACACTATCGAAGAAACTCGAAGAACTTTTCGAGGAACATTTCGCGAGTTGGGACTTCGATAATATTAGCGGTAGTCCAAGGGAAAGTTCACCAGTGCTGCATCGATTTAAGACGGCTGGACAAAAACCGGTAACTGGACGTTACGGCAATACGAAGAAATGTCAGTCTTCTTCGATTACCGAAAATATATAATATCTGCCATTAGTAATATGCTTTTCTGCGACATCGAACTACACTTGAGGAATTATCGTGCCTATAATTCATGGTGACATTTCATTACGCATTTGCAATTCATATTATTATTAGATTAACAGATAAACTAATCGCATCGAGTTTATGTAAAATTGTTAGATTCGAAATTAAGTATATCTGTAAGGATCGATCATAATAATACGCTCTAGTCACGCATCAGTTCGTATTGTTGTCACAACGTAAGCGTTCTACGGTTTTTCTTTCGCATCGCAGTTTGCTACGTTCAAACAATTTTCGTTATTTTCAAAGAAGCGAAAGTTTAAACGCTTAGTTTTCTGGTACATACATCCGTATAAGATAATGCATCTTAAATGTGAAACAAAACGATAGTTACATTTACCTTTTTTATACCACTGAATTATATAACAAAAAATAGTTAATGACATTGCAATGATGATAGTCTAAAACTTGACAACACTTAATTAAAAGAGAATAATTCGACGCTATTTTGTCCTAGCAAGATTAAAACACGATTAAACAAAAATAGTGGGAAAAACGATCAAAATATTATAAGAATAAAATAATTTTTCATTTGTAATATTATCGTTATGCGTGAAATATATTACATGAGAATAAAAAGAAGACAAATATTATAATAGCAAATTGTACTGTCAAGCAAATAAAAGATTGACCAAATAAAAGATTTAGAAAAATTAAAAATCCCGCGTTATCATCATGGAAGAAAACGCATGCGCAGTAAGAATACTTATAATCCGATAAAGTTAATGCGCACATACCGTAGAAACGTCAGTTGTACAGTTCAGATAGTGTGCGCACATGAATTATAATAATGTCAAACACCGAAGGAATAGAAAGATGGCGGTCGAGCGGTAATTTTGTGATGCATGGGATGTAGTCTACAAATGGTGTCTTACGTTTCCAAGGGATTTATCAAAATCATAACATTATCGTGCAATGTGACTACACACTGATCACGATCGTCCTGTGAAGCAGACCGTGTCAAGAACGGAAGAACAACGAACAAGAGGGATAGAAAAGATAGAAAGAGAAGAGGAGAGTACAGAAAGAGAACGGACCCAGTTTGTACGTAACGAGTGTAAAAGCGGTTCATTGCTCTGCTCTGATTTGTCGCCAAGATGGATTGGGAGTCGATCACGATGGCTAGTCTTCACCTAACGATGACCGAACATCAATATTATGAAGACATATTTAGTTATTGCTGTGAAAATGCAGACAGCGACAGTGTACCGGTCATCAAAGTTGCCGAACTATTACGCTCGGCAAATTTACCAGGAGTTGTCACGATGAAGGTAAATTACATTTATTCATTGCATGTAGTCTGTCAATTGTTAGTTTTCCGTCATATGTACAATTGTAATATTAAAATCATAGAATCTTTTTAATCATAATGAAGTGGGCGTTTAATTTGTTTAATATAATGTGATATCGGCAAATTATGAAAGCTCATGAAGGTTAGGATTAAAGAATTATTATGAGAAGATTACAAGCATTGTAATTAAATTATAAACAAAGTAGTTAAATGTCTTCATAATTTTAAATTGAAAATAAATCAAATATAATATTTTTCAACTATTGCTTTTAACATGTTAATATTAATATGTTATTGTTATAAACATTTTAAAAAAAATTATGATAGAGAAAGTTTGTAAATGAAAATTTAAAAAAATTTTAAAATTCAAAAAAATTTAATAACAATGTTTTAAATATTTAAAAATAAATATTGATAATTTTATATATTTTATAAATAATTATATATAAATAATAAATAATAATATCTATAATATAATATAAACATTCGAATTTTTTTAGTAATTTTTAAAATAAATATATAATACAATTATATATTAATCTAATTTGTTATTTTTTAGGGAATATTTAATATAACATTTTTAAATTGTATATCTCAAATATAAATATATTTATATATTTAAAGCAAACAAATTTAAATAAAATTAATTAATTATGCACAAATATATAATACAAAATATATTTTAATTTATAGATATTGGATATCTGTTTTGGAACTGAAGCAGCACACATTGGTACACATCTTGGAAAAAAACAATTCTTTGTGCTATTAAAACTTGTAGCAGCTCATCAAGCAGGACTTAGTATCCGTAAAGATATAATTACTATGCCTTTAGATGTTATTACATTACCAAGATTTACTTGGCCTGCATCTGGAGAAGAAGATGGTAGAAGAAGTTCAGATTCAAATAGGGCTATGAAGAGTCATCGCCATGCTCCTGAAAGTACTACAGAAAGTGAAAGTGAAGCAGAGTCTCCAAGAGAAACTGGTGGTAGTACAGATTCTCCAACACCAACGAATAGTATAATACAGGAGAGAAATAATGATATAGGTGGTGAAACAATATTAGATTCTGTGTCTGGAGGTTGGCAAGGATTGTTGGTATCCGAAGAACAAAGGCAATTACTAGGAACTGAAGAAGAAAGTTCAGAACGTCATAGCAGTGATGAAGGTGAAGGAGATGGTGATGGCTCAGGATTTCCACCTGAAGAAGTATGGATAATTAGTGATGAACAACGTGAATATTATACTACTCAATTTTCACAATTACAACTTGATCCAGAAGGACTTCTACATGGTTCCATAGCCAGGACATTTTTTGAAAAGTCTGGACTTCCTTTAGGAGAACTTAGTCGCATTTGGCAACTAGCAGATATTACCAGAGATGGAGCATTAAGTTTACAAGAATTTTTAGTGGCTATGCATCTTGTTGTGTTACGAAGAAATCATGTGCCTCTACCTGATGTTTTACCTCCACCATTATTAATTCCTTTGCTTAAGCAAAAGACTGGTCCACCATCCATTCCACCAACTACTACTACTCAAAAAACTCCACCTAATACTTCTGGTACTCGTGAAAGAAATAAAGAATGGACAAAATTTGTTGATTCGCCGACTGGAACTAGCAGTTCTTTAACTAGTCCAGGTTTACAATTAGTAAATTTTGATTTTCAAAAATCTGCTGTTGAAAAAGATCCTAAAATTCTGCATCCTGTACCATTGCGTTTGACACCTGAAGCAGCAATTCTTGCTTCTGGAGCAAATGGCAACACTAATAGCTGCACTACATTAGGAGATGATGATCTCCAACGTACTGCAAGTGCATTGGTGCAACGACCTCTCATTAAAAAACCACCTCCACCTCCTGAAGAAGCTATTATAGTAACTCCAAAGAAGGAACCACCGCCTCCACCACCACCCAGACCATACAGAACACATGCAAGAAGTTCTAGTCTTGATCTTAATAAATTAGGTATATGTTGCTACCAATACTCTGCGATACTTTTCATCTGTGGCTGAGAAAGCAAAGTTTTACGCTTCAAACTGTCCGCGTTCTTGTAGGGAAAAATGGTCAAAGTTTCCTTGGAGCACCTCCGCTAGTTCCACCAAGAATCTCTCCTGGAATTGTAAGTATTTTCACATATTTTTTTTAAAAATCTATTATGAAAACTCAATTATGAAATGTTTAAATTAAAATTATTAATAATGAGATCTACATTTAATTAAGCTGCTTTTACGGATCTGCACAGTAGATATTTCAGATATTTTAGATGTTGTTAACAGTTATGGATTCAGAAAGTTAAAATGTGTAGGCAAAATTATTGTTATAAAGAAAATTTTGTCATATATCTCTACTACAGACTTCACCTCGAAAATTGGTTGGTCAAAAAAGTGAGGGAGAGGGACAAAAAGTCCTAAATGAAAATCAAGGTTTTGTTGCTGATTTTTCTCACTTTTCTCCAAAGAGCGAACTACCTGAAAATTCATCTCTGGAAACTCCACAATCACAACAATTTACTGGTGTCTGTGGTGCGTTTCATATTTATAGAAAACCAAGTCCAAGTAAGTCTTTTATTTATTTATTTCATTAAAATCTTATATATCTTATATGTTATATATATGGATTCTAAGATATTGTAATTTTTTTTTATAGAGCGAGAAGGTGGAGATGAAGAAGCTCCCAAGGATGAAGTGGAAGAATCAAAAAAATTAACATTACAAGAATTAAGAGAAAAAAATGCCGAATTGCGATTAGTTTGTGAAGAATTAACACGAGAATTAGCTAGCGCACTTCAAGAACGTATAAATCTTCGTGCAAAACTTTTACTTTTAACATGATGTAATTTGTTATTATCTTTAAAGACTCCAAACTGTGAATTATCGATTTTTCCTAAATTTGTTGTAAAATCGAATATCTCATGTGTCATGCTAGTCTAGAATATTTCTTTTTGCAAAGTTTCATAACAGTTAGCGTAACCAAAAATTAATATTTTAAAACCTATTAATAAAAATTATCTAATTATCTAATTAACTATTCAATCTATTTCCACTGTCGGTTACTGTTTAAAAAATTAATTAGATTTCTAATATCTTTTTATATATTTTTAATGTTTTAGAGATTGTGTGATTATGTGATTTGCTAATATATTTATAAATATTTTAATTCATAAAAAAAATAGATGTTTTAATTGTTAGCAGAAATATTAAAAAAATATTGTTAACAGAAGTTCTCTATGGTTACGCTATTCATATTTTATTCTCTTTCACAGATAATTCCAACGTGCATTATTAGAAATATGGATACAAATATTGTAGTAACATCTGCCACTCTCTAGTATTCAAATGTTACACAGCATTTTAACGTTCAAATAATTTTAAAACTTATATTTTTTATGCATAAGATTTTGCTAAATTGCTGAGAAATAATTCTTTATATATCAAAGAATTTTTAAAGTTGAACAAAAAAGTCGCATCAAAAGGGGAAAGTGGAGAGAGAAAGAGAGAGAGAGAGAGAGAGAGAGAGAGAGAGAGAGAGAGAGAGAGAGAGAGAGAGAGAGTAGTAGTAGTATA